CCCTGTTTCTATCCGCTTTGTACTGATATAAATGTCGCAAATACAAATATCGTAAATTTCAAACCAACCCTGTGAGTAAGAAAACCTAGAACATTTTCTAATTAATATTCAATTCTTGACTCCTGAGCTACTAATAGGAAACCACTAAGAAACCGCTCAGGGTTGTAGATAGGGGCCTCACCCCCCCCCCCTGTATTTCTTTAATAAATCTTAGTTTAGTGCCCAAGAAAAATCGTAGAATTTTTTTTTGGAGGGATTTCATGCCCCCTCCCTCATTTTGGACCCCTATCCTCCCCCTGACCGATTGGCCTGGCCCTCTCTATTCAAATTAGACGATTTGGGAAATTTGCTCACTTTATGGGAAACCGTAAATCTAAGGTAAAAGCTTGTTTAAGCACTAAACACTAAACAGCCTAAAAATTAATATCAAAAGGTTTGGTCAAATTACAAAAGTTTCAAGTTTCAATTTCAAGTTTCCAATGCCTGATTCACAACAAATATTAAATGATTAAAATACCATTATTGATGCTAACAAATAATGAAGATAATGATTATAATGGCTTTCTTTTTAATCATTCATTTCTAGACAAAAGAAAGTATGCATTGGAGAATAGTGGAAATAGTTTAAGCTTTAATTAGCGGATATATTATGTTCAGTAACAAAACAGAAATTCTGCATATTTAGAGCCTTCATCCATCCTTGTCATCCATATTTTCCCTTCATCCATCCTTGCCATCCATATTCTCCCTTCATCCAGACTTGCCATACATATTCTCCCTTCATCCACCCTTGTCATCCTTATTTTCCCTTCATCCATCCTTGTCATCCATATTCTCCCTTCATCCATCCTTGTCATCCATATTCTCCCTTCATCCACCCTTGCCATCCATATTCTCCCTTCATCCATCCTTGTCATTTATATGGTTTAACTGGTTTGTTTATCCGGATATAGTATTCTATCTAATCTGCATGTTTGGGAAGTATTTACATTGAAATGAACTATATTTATAACCAGGTGCTGGGCCTGCAAGTCTATTGTATAAATTCAATAAATAGATTAGACCGACTTCGGCAGGGGGCCTGGTAAACAGTCATTTATGTACATATATATATATATATGCGTAGATTTTGATTTACCCCTCCCCTCCTCTCCATCACCAGATCCAGCTAATCCTTATTTTTCAAAACCATGCAGTTAGTTCATCCCAATTTTTTGCATTCCATCTTTTAGAAGAAGTTGAGTTTTGTAAAACTGAAAACAGAAAAATAGAATACTTTGATCTGATCTGTTATGCACTGTTAATTTTTGATATGTTTTAGGAAATAATTTCGAAATAATTTAAACAAAATTTTTATTGATTTCTTATTTTACTTTTGTATCAATTATATATAGCAAAGGTAAGAAGGTAAAATTTATCTGTATCTTTTGAAAAAAATATAGGATTAAACAAAAAACGATAAAATAATCGGTGAAAATTATTTTTTGATCTAATCTATAAAGGTTAATCTGCATAATACCTAAACCTCCTTAAATCACCAGAATTGGGTTCAAAGAACTGGGATTAAAACTATTTTTTGTGTGTGTTAATTTTGCAAAAAATGGGATGCACAGAGGGGAGCCTAGTTCACCCCCCTTTCCATTCGCGTCCTGCCCCCTCTTTTCCATCCGCCCTTAGTTCCGCCCCCCCCCCCACCCACGGTTCCGCCCAGAGATTCTGAATAGACTCATCAAACTGTGTAGAAGAGAAGAGCAGAGCCATGAACTAAGCAGTTAGCAGAGTAGAGAAAGATGGGTTTTCGCAACAACTTTTATATCCTTGGATAACTAGAAGGGTGGGGGGGGGGGCTCTTACACATCTGAATTGTTAAAGTTTATTTTAATAAGATAGATCTCCTGGTATGGTTTGGATAAGCTAGATCTCCTAGTATGGTTTGGATAAGATAGATCTCCTGATATGGTTTGATTAAGCTAGATCTCCTGATATGGTTTGATTAAGCTAGATCTCCTGATATGGTTTGGATAAGCTAGATCTCCTGATATAGTTTGGATAAGCTAGATCTCCTGATATGGTTTGGATAAGCTAGGTCTCATGGTATGGTTTTAATAAGATAGATCTCCTAACATCGTTAACATAAGATAGATCTCCTGATCTGGTTTGGATAAGATAGATCTCCTGGTATGGTTTAAGCTAGATCTCCTGATCTGGTTTGGATAAGCTAGATCTCCTGATCTGGTTTGGATTAGTTAGATCTCCTGATATAGTTTGATTAAGCTAGATCTCCTGATATGGTTTGGATAAGATAGATCTCCTAATATGGCTTGGATTAGCTGGATCTTAAGCTATATTTGGAATAATCTTAAACCTTCTAGCTACTGTATTTTTGTCCCCTAGATGATGGCCCCTGACCCCCAAGAATTGAATGAACCTATGTAGTTTTGTATTCTTCGTTTTATGACTGTTAGGGCCAAGAGGCCGGGGGGGCAATGGGGGGGGGGGAATTTGGTGCTTTCTAAATAATTTTAAAAGTTAGTTTCGAAAGAACTTTACTTTTACACCTTAAACTGTGTATAATTTGGTTTAATTTTGATGGAAGTTGGAACTACTTGGGATATTATTTACAAGAGGAAGTTGGGATACAGTGCCCCCGGCATTCAAGTCTCTCAAGGCATTGAAATCTCCATCCTACATCTTAGATTTGGGCTTTCTTAATGACACCATTCATACCCCCCCCCCCCCCCCCCCCCCCCCCCCCCCGCCACGGTGGGGGGGGGGGGGGGTGGGGTGGGGGGGGGTCAAAGATCCTAATTTTAGACAAATTGTGCTGTTTCTCTCTAGCTCAGGGCACCGGCGGTATAAATACTATTCAAAATATTAAACTGTATAAATTTTGAAAACTGACATCAACATTTATATTTAAAGATGATCTAAACAAGTTTTTGCTTCAAGTTTCAAGACAAACCAGACACATCTCTAGTTCTATTCAAGGAACCTTATCTAATGTTTGATCCTGTAAACTGGAGATGTATAAAAAGGAGACGAATAAAAAAAAATTTTTTTAGCATTTTCCTATTTTTAAACGTGAGAAATTATTGCAATTTATACTCTGCAATTAAAGTTTAAAAGTTCACAATTGCTAGTTCTCCAATTTTTTCCTCTCTTATTTCACCAAATATTTTTATTTTAGGATCAGATTTCCATTGTCTATCTTTCACATCCCATCCCCGCGCCCACTCCCCATTATCGGAATTTTATGTTAAAAATTAGTTTTAAAAATATTTTTTTCATCTTTATTCTCATCCCTTCCCTTTTCCTTTCCTTCCTTCCCCTCCTTCCCTTTCCCTTTCCTCCCTTTCCTTCCTTTCCTTTTCCTTTCCTTCCTTACCCTCCTTCCTTTCTTTCCCTTATTTCCTCCTTCCCTTCATTCCCTTCTTTCCAACTTTCCACTTTTTTCTCCTTTACACCCTCTCCTACTTCCCTCCCTTCCCTTCTGCCTCTTTTCTCCCGCCCTTTCTACTATTTCTCTTTTACCTGGTTTCCCATTTTTATCTCGCATACTTATTTCCCACAAGTTGTGAGTAGAATAATATTGAGCAGATCAATCATAAAATTATATATGAGAGGATATTGAGAATTGATCAGATTCATCTACCAAGTTTTGATAGGTCTTGGTTTCTCAGGCTTCCATCCCCGCCCCGGGCCACAGAGTTTGATTTATATTTCAAAAATTTAGCTAATTTTGATTCTGATTATGATAATAAAACTAGCCTAGTTTAAAAAGGATGTTTCATCATTGAGATTGTAAAAACAGTTTCAGCAAGAGCCAAATACGATTTAAAATCGAATAAATCATCAAATAACAAGAAAAATATAAAAGTTTATAAACATAAGAGAAAAATAAGTTTTATAATTTCATGATTTTTGGATAAAAGAAGCAGTAGATAAAGATTTTCTCAATATTTAATCTGCAATGAGTTGTACATTCAATTATTGTACATTATGTACAGTGTATACACAATTGTTCAGCAGCTGTTTCAGAAAAATGCCGTACACAAGAGAAGTTTGGACTTTGGCCTCCAGAGTGAAAGGAGAACTGACAGAGGAGCATTTCAAAATTAAGGTTATATTAATCATACAAGAAAACCAAAATAGACCTGTTAACTTATTTTTAATTTTAATTTTTAGGAAGAAGAAATGCGGGATTTGTGTAAAGGAGAAATAGTGTGCCGAGCTTTATATATCTCTGTGGACCCTATTACAAGGATTTTATTTTAAAGACGCCATTTTGAATTAAAATTTGAATTAATACGCGCCATTTTGAAAAACTATAAAATGCACCATTCTGAATTAAAAGACGTCCTTTAGATTAAAAAATACGCCATTTTTTATTTTTATGATTGAAATTTTTTTAATGTTTTTGAAACCATGGTCTTAAATCTTAAATTGGTTACCGCAAACTAACCCACACGCAACAAAATTTTTAAAAAGTTTTTCCCTCGAAAAAGAACTTCCATGGATTAAAAAAATATTAAGATAAAAAATCCAGATTGCATATTGCGTATTCTGAGCCGGGACAACCAATATTGGGTAGACAGGTACGTTTTTTGTAGTTTTTGTATAATCTAAATTCACATTTTTATTTTTTAAACGGATGACATTTCACCTCTTTTGGAAACTTCACGTGTTAACATTAACTAACATTTCATTGAACAAAATTTCACGAGACATATCGTTACTCTTTCAGTTTTTAGATTCGGGTGTAGAAATCCTAACAGTTATGAATTATTAATAAAAGAGATTGTACAAATGTTTTTTGAAAAATACTTTACGTAGTTTTTCTAAATTAGGGTAGTTTCCACGGCTTTTGCTACTTTTCCGTTTATTTCATAACATGTCTGTTTCTAGACAAGGGCCTAATATTTACCAAAAATGTGAGAAAAAGCTGAAACTTTTAATAAAATAACTTGGGGAGAGAAAAAAAAACTATTTGTACAAATCAGCTGTCCTGGGGGGAGGAAGTTTCATCCAAGCCAGTTGACAGTTATTGTCATTCAATGAACTTTTTTCTCTAAAAAAAGTTGCAGCTGCTCTCTCCCAAAACATTGGGCTCGGGAAATGTTAATTATCAATATGGGCATCCTCGCGCGCTCAACATTTTCTCTAATTGGACCATGCATCCGTTCCGTCCGTTCAACTCTCTTCCGGCGTTAGAACGGACATTGTGCTCAACAGGTGGGGAGGGGCGGGGTGAGGGATATGATCTAAGAAGAGGGGGAGGGGGGAGGAAGAGGAGATGGTTGATATTGAGGGAGTGCCCTAAGGTTAATGCCCTGAAAAAAGGCAATTATGTAGATCAATTATTCAATGCAGGGAAATTGAACAATAGTGCGGGAAAAAAACAGGTCTGCATTTTTTTCATGGTTTCGGATCCCTGGTTTTGAATCCCTGGTTTAGACTCCCTGGTTTCAGCTCCCTGCCGTTTGGCTCCCTGGTTTCGAATCCTTGGTTTAGATACCCTGGTTTCAGCTACCTGCAGTTTGGCTCCCTTCAGGTTTGGATCCCTGGTTTAAAAGTTTTGGTTTCGGGTCCCAGGTTTAGACTCTTTGGTTTCGCATTTATGGTTTCGGATCCATGGCATAGGATACCTATTTTCGAATCCATGGTTTCGGATCCATGGCATAGGATACCTATTTTCGAATCCATGGTTTCGGATCACTGGATTTAGCTTCCTGCAGTTTGGGATCCCTAGTTCCGAATCCAGCTTTAGCCATATTTATCTCCCTGTAGGATAAGTACCTCTGAAGTAAATAGTCTTTACAATTTTTACAGTGGCCTTTCAAGTGATTGATCTAAGATCTGAATCAAAACAAAATGAGACTGAAAACATTATTTTTTTCATAGTTTTTTTTATTAATCTATAAATATTAAATATGTTTGTTTATTATGTCCGATTACCTAACTCACGAACCTCTTAACCGATTAGTTTTAAATATTGATTAGAACACCGCATATGTTGATTGCTTGGTTTAAAAATTCTAAATTGAGTTGGTCGACTTTTCAGGGACAGCTTAGATTTTCAAAGGAGGTTATAATATAGTATAGATGTTCAGGCACAGCTGGGTTTCCAAACTAATTAGGTGTAAATTCTCATTGTTAATTCACAGTATAGTGTATAACGATAACTTAATAATAATGATGTAACACTATCTGCGCGAAATCACAAAGAAAGAATCAAACTTTTAAAAAACACTGTTTTTATAATTTGTTACTTTTTAAAGACGGAGTATAAAATATTTATTTTAATTAGGATGAGAAAAAATATTAGCGCAAATTTAAAAAAAAAGATTTGTACAAAAAAAGTACAAAATCACACTGTATTTTAGACTCACTCTGTACTTTATTACTATTTTATATCTGTCTCTTGTTTTCTTCAATTATTTATCTGTCTCTTGTTTTCTTCTATTTTATATCTTTCTCTTTTTTTCTTCAATTATTTATTTGTCTCTTGTTTTCTTCTATTTCATATCTGTCTCTTGTTTTCTTCAATTATTTATCTGTCTGTTGTTTTCTTCTATTTTATATCTGTGTCTTGTTTTCTTCTATTTCATATCTGTCTCTTGTTTTCTTCAATTATTTATCTGTCTCTTGTTTTCTTCTATTTCATATCTGTCTCTTGTTTTCTTCAATTATTTATTTGTCTCTTGTTTTCTTCTATTTTATATCTGTCTCTTGTTTTCTTCAATTATTTATCTGTCTCTTGTTTTCTTCTATTTTATATCTGTCTCTTGTTTTCTCCTATTTTATATCTGTCTCTTGTTTTCTTCTATTTTATATCTGTCTTATCTGTCTCTTGTTTTCTTCTATTTTTATCTTTATTTTGGTTTCTTCTATTTTTATCTGTCTCTTGTTTCTTCTATTTTATATCTGCCTCTTGTTTTATTCATTTTCCAATCCGTCCCCTGTTTTGTCTATTTTCAGACCTTTCTCTTGTTTTATATTTAAGATCTGTCTCTTATTTTTTTTTTTTGAGAACTGTCTGTTTTGTAAATATTCTGATATGTATCTTTATATTTTCTATTCTGTTTCTTGTTCTTGTATATTTTCTTAAACATATTTTTTTTTGTTTTCTTTTTTTTCCTGATCAGTCAAGGGTTTCAAAGTTTTTTTCTGTCTTTTTTCATTTTCTTCTTACTCTTTTTTCTCTTCTTGTCTTGTAATTTTCTTAGTTATTAAACTTACTTACCATTTTCTTATTACACCTTATGTTTCCATCCCCCTAACTAAACCCCCCCCCCCTCCACCCAGCGTGACCATATCAACCTATTCTTCGGTATAATATAGCCCAATTATTAAAACAATACCGGGGGCCAATTGACCTATTTACTTGAAAAGACTGGGGGGAGAAAGCGCGTAGTAAAAATATAAAACGAGCAGTTTTCTTTGGACCCATTTTAGAACATGATTTAAGCCAACATTTTTAGGACACCTACCTACCCCCTGCTATACTTCATTTTAGAACTTGATTTAAGCCAACATTTTTAAGACATCTACCCCCTGCTATACTTAATTTTAGAACATGATTTAAGCCAACATTTTTAGGACACCTACCTACCCCCTGCTATACTTCATTTTAGAACATGATTTAAGCCAACATTTTTAGGACACCTACCCCCTGCAATACTTCATTTTAACAGTCATTCTTTGGGTTAAAAATATTTAACTTTTAAATTGTTATAATTATTTCGTGAAATTGTGTATTTTTGAAATGTTTTCAAATTCTCTCAAATTCATTAAATTTCTTAAGACTACCCACAAGCAACCCATAGCGGGGGCTAAAAGGGCAATTACAGGTTTTTCTTTGCAAAGTTTTGGCTTTCCTAAAACCAAATTGAGAAATAAAATTTCAGCCACAGAAAGAGTAAAATTTAAATTGTTATCCTACTCATCCTACTCAATACTCATCCTACTCAATACTCATCCTACTCAATACTCATCCTGCTCAATACTCATCCTACTCAATACTTATCCTATTCATCCTAATCATCCTACTCATCCTACTCATCCTACTCATCCTACTCATCCTACTCATCCTACTCATCCTTCTCATCCTACTCATCCTGTTCATCCTACTCATTCTACTTATCCTTATTTATCCTTCTTATCCTATTTATTCTACTCATCCTACTAATCCTATTCATCCCACTCATCCTACCTATCCTACTCATCCTACTCATCCTCTCGTCCTACTTATCTTCCTCATCCCACTCATACTAGAAATATAGCAGAAAAGCATAATTTAGATAAATGTATTTGTAAATACAACATAATATATCTATTTGTAAATAACACATTAAAACCCAATATCATGAAATTTTCTGTTTTTATAGATTGCAAGAGTTGTGGAATCTAAGAATCCTGATTATCCTAAGGTAAAATCAATAAATTGAAAATAAGTTTTTAAATATTAAAAAAGAATGGCGTAGAATATTTCATAAGAAAAAGGAATATATGAAGAAATATTAGTTAGACAGTTGATCCTAGATTATGGTTTGTGTAAGCCCTCTCTCCCGAGCTTTCCTTGTTATTGAAGCCTAGGCGCTGGGAAAGCTGAATCCTGAAATGTTAGAATACTTACATACATAAACAGGAGAGTAATAATCGAATAGAGGACGAATTGAATAATTAAAAGAGTTATGGAGTATTCTAGCAGTACATTATACATCAATCCAACTTTTTACCTAACTTACTCAGCAGCAGGAGCCCTCGTGGAAAATCTCTGTCCACACTACGGAGAAAGGGACAACTCTCATTCCCCAGGTGTATTTGCGGTGCAGATCTAATGGGTAATAATGGGATAATTTATCCTAATTCCGCATACACATCGGAAAGATGTATAAAACAAGAGGAAAAACAGAGATTTTCTGCGAGATGATCTCTCGATACCCCTCTACTTCCCATACCTCCAACATTATCCTACTTCATAGTTGAACTCAGAAACCACTTTACTTTTGAATCTTAATCAAAACTTTCTGAGAGAGATCAGCATTTTGACATGGGGGTACTTGTCCTAGGGGGTGCTTCTAGATCTCCTTGAACCTACCTGAAAGCAGTATTAGGCTATGGAGATCTTTTTCAAAATTACTGCAGGATACATGAATAATGCAGCAGATTCAGAATTTAAGAAAAAATCCAAGTTCTACTAATTTATATCCGGAGTATAAACCTGTAGAAAAGTTGACAAAGTCAGCTTCATGCTGAGTTTGTATAATCTTGTGGAGGGGCGTGCTACTCAAATTCATGCTGTACAGTGTACAGTGTACACAGCAAAAAATAAAGAAATACAAATTGCTTTATCATCTAAATGTTAAGAATTGCATATTACCCTTTCAGGGGAGGGGGGGGGGGGTATGCAAATAACACAGACAACACAGTTAAATAAAGTGAACAAGGGTTCCAAGGGTAGACAGAAAAGAAGAATATTCGAAATAATATTTATCTGCATTATAAACATGTATTATGTTGCTGTCACTTAAAAATTATAATTTGTAAAAAATATGAATATAAAAAATACCCAATTTGTAAATAAGAAGAATTAATAGATTATTATGATTAAAAGAAAAAGAAAAAGTAACAAAAAAATAAGTTTTAAATAGAAAATATTCAAAAAAGGGTAATTTTTACCAACATTTTTGCTTGTAGGGAAAACTACTGATTGGTTCCATGGGTTGGTCTAGTTACAGTACAGTAGATCCTACTCTTACACAGGTACATGAAGTACATACTGTACTCTATACTAGTTACAGTACAGTAGATCCTACTCTTACACAGGTACATGTAGTACATACTGTACTCTACACTAGGTACAGTACAGTAGATTCTACTCGTACACAGGTACATGTAGTACATACTGTACTCTATACTAGTTACAGTACAGTAGATTCTACTCTTACACAGTTACTCTATACTAGTTACAGTACAGTAAATTCTACTCGTACACAGTTACTCCATACTAGTTACAGTACAGTAGATTCTACTCGTACACAGGTACATGTATACATACTGTACTCTTCACTAGGTACAGTTCAGTAGATCCTACTCTTATACAGGTACATGTAGTACATACTGTACTCTATACTAGTTACAGTACAGTAGATACTACTCTTACACAGTTACATGTAGTACATACTGTACTCTATACTAGTTACAGTACTGTAGACCCTACTCTTACACAGGTACATAGAGTACATACTGTATTCTTTACTAGTTATAGTACAGTAGATCCTACTCTTACACAGGTACATGTAGTGCATACTGTACTCGACACTAGGTACAGTACAGTAGATCCTATTCACAGGTGCATGTAGAACATACTGAATTTATACTAGTTACAGTACATTACATCCTACTCCTACACAGGAACATGTAGTACATACTGTACTCTATGCTACTTAAAGTACAGTAGATCTTACTCTTACACAGGCACTTATAGTACATATTGTACTATGTACCAGTAAAAGTACAGTAGATCTTACTCTTAAGCAGGTACATGTAGGACATTCTGTACTCTATACTACTTACAGTACAGTAGATCCTACTCTTACACAGGTACATGTAGTATATACTGTACTCTACACTAGATACAGTACAGTAGATCCTACTCTTACACAGGTACATGAAGTACATACTGTACTCTATACTAGTTACAGTACAGTAGATCCTTTACACAGGTACATGTAGTACATACTGTACTCTACACTAGGTACAGTACAGTAGATCCTACTCTTACACATGTACATGTAGTACATACTGCACTCTATACTAGTTACAGTACAGTAGATCCTACTCTTAAACAGGTACATGTAGTACATACTGTACTCTACACTAGGTACAGTACAGTAGATCCTACTCTTACACAGGTACATGTAGTACATACTGAACTCTATAGTATACTATACACTAGTTTCTTAAAAAAATGTCATAGTTTGGTTTATTGTACCTCCGAATGTATGTAGGACATGTATAACAACAATGTCTAAATATCCCAATATTTTTGAAATGTTTGTTCAAAATGCCAAAATATTAAAATTTTGATCAGGTACTGGGCGGACACGAGGTTCCTTTGGTTGAAACATTACCAAGACAACTAGAAAATGCGTCAATGCCCAAATCAGCGGCATTGGGTCTTTTAGGTAACATACAGTGATACAAGGTTACCCACAAAGGATAAGATAATCAGAGACGACTGTACGATATTCATTCAATGTTTTTCTGTATATATGTGGTTCCATATGAACTCATATTTAAAATCCTTTGACAAATCAAACTATTACAAGACTATATTCAACATTTATTTAACCTTTAGCTTTTCGTAATTAGGGAGTTTTAGGTGGTCTTTCAAAACTCATTTATAGAGGGTAACCCTGTACTACAACACTAAATTGTACAATAGTATAGTTATAGTTTGTTTTAAATTTATTTTTAAATTGTTTTATGTTCAGATTAGTTTCTAAATGTACTGTAAACTTGGTTTCCAAGTTTTATTTTATTTTCTAGAATATTTAACCGTGGTTAAACTAATATGATATTTAGTATAAACTGGTCGAACTATACCTTGTAATTAGGGTTAGTACAGGCAGCCGGCATAGTAGATAGATAGTTGGATAGTTGGAATGTTGGATAGTTGGATAGTTGGATAGTTGGATAGTTGGATAGTTGGATAGTTGGATAGTTGGATAGTTGGATAGTTGGATAGTTGGATAGTTGGATAGTTGGATAGTTGGATAGATGGATAGTTGGATAGTTGGATAGTTGGATAGTTGGATAGTTGGATAGTTGGATAGTTGGATAGTTGGATAGTTGGATATTTGGATAGTTGGATAGTTTAGATAGATTAATTATATAAATACTTTTATAGTTGATTGATTTGAATTCGTTTAAGCTTGAATGTTTGACTGAAATCCCTGCATGTTTAGGGGTACCCGGATTAACAGCATATATTGGCTTAACAGAGGTGTGCAAAGCTAGACCTGGAGAAACTATTGTCATCAGCAGTGCAGCAGGACAGATGGGTCATCTTGTTGGGCAGATAGCTAAGTAAGTACAGTTAGTTAGATGGGTTATCTTGTAGGACAGATAGCTAAGTAAGCACAGTTAGTTAGATGGGTCATCTTGTTGGGCAGATAGCTAAGTAAGTACAGTTAGTTAGATGGGTCATCTTGTAGGACAGATAGCTAAGTAATTACAGTTAGCTAGATGGGTCATCTTGTAGGACAGATAGCTAAGTAAGTACAGATAGTAAGATGGGTCATCTTGTAGGACAGATAGCTAAGTAAGTTATACAGTTAGTTAGATGGGTCATCTTGTAGGACAGATAGCTAAGTAAGTACAGGTAGTAAGATGGGTCATCTTGTAGGACAGATAGCTAAGTAAGTACAGTTAGTTAGATGGGTCATCTTGTAGGACAGATAGCTAAGTAAGTACAGTTAGCTAGATGGGTCATCTTGTAGGACAGATAGATAAGTAAGTACAGTTAGTTAGATGGGTCATCTTGTAGGACAGATAGCTAAGTAAGTACAGTTAGTTAGATGGGTCATCTTGTAGGACAGATAGCTAAATAAGTACAGTTAGCTAGATGGGTCATCTTGTAGGGCAGATAGCTAAGTAAGTACAGTTAGTTAGATGGGTCATTTTGTTGGGCAGATAGCTAAGTAAGTACAATTAGTTAGATGGGTCATCTTGTAGGACAGATAGCTAAGTAAGTACAGTTAGTTTGATGGGTATCTTGTTGGGCAGATAGCTAAGTAAGTACAGCTAGGTAGACGGGTCATCTTGTAGGACAGATAGCTAAGTAAGTACAGTTAGCTAGATGGGTCATCTTGTAGGACAGATAGCTAAGTAGGAATTAGACCAAAGATAATACGGTACAAGGTTATAATGCAAGGAAAAATTATTGCAGTTGCGTATACTCTGCGTACATATTGAAAGCAGTTCTCTCTGGGCGGAATTTGTAAATGAGAATATATGTATCAGTGTTTGTCAAGTATCCGTGGAGAATAAAAGCATTAAATTTTGATAATTTTGATAATTCACATAATAGTTTCCTTTGGCCAGAATATTTCATTGATTTTTTTATGTGAAAGATGGATCCCATGTCAGGTAGTGACATCCGTCTTGTGTTTACATTAACGCCCAGAGACAGTGCACTGCAGAACAAAAGATGCGTACACCTCTGAAATAACTTTCCTTGCATTATACCTTGGTACGGTATGTAAAGGGATAGCTGAATGTCTATGATTTAAAAAAATGACTGATTAAAACATGGATTGAAATGAAGGCTCTCCTCCCTTTTCTATAGTTCTATCTTGTCTATATCTTATAGGAAAAAGTTTCCAACAATGAATTAGATCTAAACACGATGTATTAGTTTCATCTCATGAAATACGTCAATTAAACTAAACTAATGTCCTGGTTCCAGGCAGCTGGGTGGGCGGTGGTTCTATAGGGGGGGGGGGGGGTAAATTTGTAGATTCACATGAGAGATGGGGGAGTGGTTGTGTTCTGATATAGCTAAATATGATAAGCTATCTTGATTCAACTATAACATATTTAATTAAACAAATAGAAAACATAAACAAAAAGAAACATTTTAAAACTTTTTTGAATTGTTATAATTTACAGACTTTCTCAATTTTTGATTTCAATCCCATTTAAGATTGAAGTTTAAAGTTACCCTACATTCAATGATGGCAATGCCTGATTTACAACGATATTCTTGAAACCTTAGTCTGATAAAAAACGTGAAAGATATCGTCGTTTTCTTGATTCGAGAAGTGTTTAATTCTAACAATTTCTCGCATGAAATGCACAAGAGTCACTTCGAAGAGGAACCGCAATCAAAAATAAATAGTTCAAAGAAACAATAACAAGGATATCTCATACTTGGTCAGACAAATGCGATTCTAAAATGAATTTTTAAAACCTTTTAGTAAATCTTTATTTTCAGGGAGATAGGTTTAAGAGTTATTGGATACACAGGGAGCAGTGAGAAGGTATCTTTTCTAAAGAATAAGTACATAAAACTGGTACATTAAACGGATAAATTAAACAGGTAAATAAAACGGGTAAATAAAACGGAAAAATAAAACAGATAAATAAAACAGGTAAATAAGACGGGTAAATAAAATAAAACAGATAAATAAAACAGGTAAATAAAACGGGTAAATAAAACGGATAATTAAAACAAATAAATAAAACAGGTAAATAAAACAGGTAAATAAAACAGATAAATAAAACAGGTAAATAAAACGGGTAAATAAAACGGATAAAAAAACAGATAAATAAAACAGGTAAATAAAACAGGTAAATAAAACAGGTAAATAAAACGGGTAAATAAAACAGATAAATAAAACAGGTAAATAAAACAGGTAAATAAAATGGGTAAATAAAACAGGTAAATAAAACAGGTTAATAAAACAGATAAATAAAACAGGTAAATAAAACAGGTAAATAAAACAGGTAAATAAAACGGGTAAATAAAACAGATAAATAAAACAGGTAAATAAAACGGGTAAATAAAACAGGTAAATAAAACAGGTAAATAAAACAGGTAAATGAACAGGTAAATAAAACAGGTAAAATAAAACAGGTACATAAAACAGGTACATAAAACATGGACATAACACGGGTCCGTAAAACAGGTAAATAAAACAGGTAAAATAAAACAGGTACATAAAACAGGTACATAAAACATGGACATAACACGGGTCCGTAAATACGGGTAAATTTAACAGTTACAGAAAACGGGTACATAAAACAGGTACATAAAACATGGACATAACACGGGTTCGTAAATACGGGTAAATTAAACAGTTCCAGAAAACGGGTACATAAAAATTGCATAAATTAAAACAAGGTTAATACGTATTCGTTTACAACATTATATCTATACCAATGTTTATGCACATTTTCAATTGCAACAAAAATAAATTTTATATAACGTACCGTTTCGGGGCGGGGTGAAAAGCTCGTTTAATAAAAAAATTTAATTTCGTTAATAAGTTTTAAAAGATTGTATGTATCAATATCTAAACATTTGCTCATGGTAGGTAAAAGATAATTTACAAATATTCACCTAATTATATAAAGATATAAAGTATATACACTCGATGTACAGCTTTGTAAAATCTTATTTGTTTCTGTATAGGTTTAATTTTATGAACAAAGGAGTTGATTCTTTGCCACAAACTCTGATTTTATAATCCCTATATCTTTGGAACCCAATGTCGTAAATCTTTGATATTTCAAACTTATATTATTTGATCTAACAAAACTCATAGTTTGAAATATCTAAGGTCTACGACATTGGAATCTAAAGATATAGGGATTAGAAAATCAGAGTTTGTTGCATAGACTAAATTCCTTATTCATAATAATATTTATTATTTCAGGCCTCTTGGATAAAAACTGAGCTTGGGTTTGACTGGGCCTTCAATTATAAAACCCAAGATGTCGCTCAAACATTGAAAATCGCAGCTCCCGAAGGGGTAAGGATGGATTAACGTCTAATTGCGTGTAATTCCAATCATAAATGCGTATTAATACTTTTCCAGTGCGTAAATAGTTTGTACTTATTTCTTGGAATAAACAAATTCTATTTGTTCCTCTGTGTAAACATAAAATATTTTCTTTCCCTTCTTCGTCTTTCTGTCCCTTATTTAAACTTCTTTAATTTATTCTTTCTTTCTTTATTCTACTTAATTTTTTCTTAAATCTTTCTTTCCTCTTCACATTCGGTGTCAATTCTTTTTCTCTTTTCTTGCTTTTTTTTCAGTTCGTAATCTTCTACCTTCTTTCATTCTTTGAAGTTTCCTTTAATTTTAACCTTTCTTCTAACTTTCTTTCTTTCATTTTTCTTCTTTATTTTTTCTTTTTTCTTTCTTTCTTTCTTTCTTTCTTTCTTTCTTTCTTTCTTCCTTTTTTCTCTGTATCTCTTTCTTTCTTTATTTCTTTCTTTAATTTTTTCTCTTTATTTTTACTTTTTTTCTTTCTTTCATTCATTCTTTCTTTCTTTCTTTCTTTCTTTCTTTTTTCTTTGATTTTTTTAACTTTCTTCTTTCTTTTCTTCCTCCCTTTCGTACCTATCCCCTGTGCTTTTCTCCATTTGTAATATATTCCTATATTTAAAGGTTTTACTTGCAATTCATGAATTGATGGACCCTCCAGGACAGTTTAGTTCTTCCCGCCAAAATACGAGAAGGTTTTGATTTGAATTAAAATCTTTGAAAAGATTCTTGTTTGTCAGGATTTATTGTTCATAACAATACATCTTATTCTTCATTCTTTAATCTGCAGTTATATACATATGTATGCATTATGTATATTTATTATTTATTATTATTATTTAGCTTCTTTTTAATTCCTTTTGAGTAATTGTGTAACCGTTTATAATAACTTTTTTCCGTCTCCTGTTTTCATCACCCTCTATCCTTTTAGTCTCTAAAGGTGTCAAACCCTTCCCTCGTTTCCCTTTTCTTCCTCCTCCGGCCCTTATGTCCCCTAGTCCAGCTCCTTTACGTGTAATCTCTTCCTATAGGTTCTGTTCCCCCTCTCTCCCAACCCAGGGGTAGAGCCCCCCCCCCCCCCTCCCCTGGGTAGAAGGGCCCGGTGTTCCTATACCCTTCTATCTGCTCCTTCTATCGATTGAGAGGATTCAGAGCATGTGTGTGTGAACACTTTAATATCCCTTGGGACCTTCAGGGGTATTTTAGGGGTTCTAGGGGAACTCCAGGGGTATTTAAGGGGTTCTAGGGGACTTTCAGGGGTCTAGGGGACTTTCACGGGTTCTAGGCGACTTTTAGGGGTATTTCAGTGCTTCCAGGGGACCTTCAGGGTATTTGAGGGGTACTCGGGGACTTTCACTGCTTTAGGGGAATTCAAGAAGTTCTAGGGGACTTTCAGGGGTTCCAGCGGACTTTGAGTGGTATCTTAGGAGCTCCAGAGGTATTTCAGGTTTTATGGGAGCTTCAAGAGTATTTCAGGGGTTCTAAGGGACCTTCAGTGATATTTCAGGGGTTGAAGGACCTTCAGGGAGGGGTATTTCAGGGGTTTCTAGGGTACTGCAGGGGATCGATTGTTTCATTAGAACATATTTTAGGGATCTCTTTGATGAATGCTTTTGGTTTGTATTGTATCCAAGAGTGTTTTAAGTATTCTATTTAATTTCTTAGGAAGTTTTATCGGAGAGTTTTCCAAATTGTATTTCCCTAGTTGGATATGAAAAAACTGCTATAAAAAAGCCTGTGTACAATCTATATAATAAAACATTCGTATATATGTTGCCTATAGCCGGCCAAAATACGTACTGGACCGATTGGGCTGAAATTTTTGTGGACACTCATGGGTGGTCGGGGGGTGTTATATGCTAAAAAATATAGAATTTTCATGTTGCGTATAGCCGGCCAAACGGCTGGACTGATTGGGCTGATTTTTTTGACATTAATTAATTGAATTTTTTTTTCTAAACATCATTATTTAAAAAAAAAAATTATTTTTAAAAAAATCCACTGGCAACGCCGGGCCCTTCAGCGAGTTCTAAATAAGTGTATTTTAATTTAATAGATTTGTGTTGATTAGGTTGATATATTCTGGGATGCTGTAGGGGGCAGTTTATCCACAAATATCATAAATAACATGGCAATCTTTGGAAGGGTAAGACGATATTTACTTGAAGCTCATGGAACTTATATAATATATATGGTATTAGTTGGAAACCTAGCTGGCTTTGGAAACTTAGCTAGTTATGGAAACCTAGCTAGTTATGGAAACCTACATTTAGATAAGATAAGTTGGAAACCTAGCTAGCTTTGGAAACCTATATTTAGATAATACTAGTTGGAAACCTAGCTAGTTATGGAAACCTATATTTAGATAATACTAGTTGGAAACCTATACTTAGTTGGAAGTATAGCTATTGAAACCTATATTTAGTTAAGATAAGTTGGAAACCTAGCTAGCTCTGGAAACCTATATTTAGATAAGATAAGGTTGGAAACCTGGCTAGCTATGGAAACCTATATTTAGATAATACTAGTTGGAAACCTAGCTAGTTATGGAAACCTATATTTAGATAATACTAGTTGGAAACCTAGGTAGCTATTGAAACTAATATTTAGATAACACTAGTTGGAAACCTAGCTAGCTATGGAAACCTATAATTATATAATACTTGTTGGAAATCTAGCTAGTTATGGAAACCTATATTTAGATAATACTAGTTGGAAACCTAGCTAGTTATGGAAACCTATATTTAGATAATACTAGTTGGAAACCTAGCTAGTTTTGGAAACCTATATTTAGATAATACTTGTTGGAAACCTAGCTAGCTATGGAAACCTAACTTCTCCTTCAAAACTATCAATGCTGGACCTGGCAATAACTCTCAAGGAAATACAAAAATACAAGATTAACTTCCCTAGTTATTTTCTTTATAAACTTCTCTGCTACTAGAAGTTTACCGATAAAATATTGACTTTCATTTTTTTCTTGTAATACACCCCCCCTTTACCGGTCTCAAAATCCTTCCAACTGTCATCCAGCACTTTAATCTTTAAGCTTTTTCCAAACAAGCTCTCCCATCCTTTTAATCCATGAGCCCCCATGCAGATTTATCCGATAGTTTCTTATTTTTGAATGGTTTTCAATTGTCTCCAATACTAGATTATTCATCCTTGAATGTCCAGCAAAGAACCCGACATTGGAGAAAACACATATTCTCAGGATATATAGAGTACATACGCAACAGGGTTAAAATATTATGTGGGAAACATGACAGGCTTTTATCACATCATCCTCTAATATCTATTTATCTCCTGGTTTCTCATGAATCCCATGGATCTCATAGTTCTCATGGATCTCATAGTTCTCATGGATCTCATGGATTTCATGGATCTCATGGATTTCATAGATCTCACGGATCTCATGGTTCTCATGGTTCTCATGAATCTCAAGGATCTCATAGTTCTCTTGAATCTCATGGTTCTCATGGATCTCATGGATCTCCTGGATTTCATAGATCTCACGGATCTCATGGTTCTCATGAATCTCAAGGATCTCATGGTTCTCATAGTTCTCATAGTTCTCATGGTTCTCATGAATCTCATGGATCTCCTGGCTTCTCATGGGTCTCCTGGTTTCTCATGGTTTCTCATGGTTTCTCATGGTTTCTCATGGTTCCTCCTGGTTCCTCCTGGTTTCTCATGGTTTCTTATAGATCTCATGGCTTCTAATGGCTTCTCATAGTTCTCATGGAACTCATGTATCTCCTGGTTTCTTCTGGTTTCTTCTGGTTTCTCCTGGGTTCTCTTATTTTCTTATGGTTTATCCTGGTTCCTCCTGGTTTCTCCTGGTTTCTCCTGGTTTCTCCTGGTTTCTCCTGGTTTCTCCTAGTTTATTTTGATTCTTCTGGATCCCCTGTTTCTCCGGGATCTCCTGGTTTCTCCTTTTTCTCCTGGATCCTTAGAGAGAGAGGCTGTTCTACGCTGCATACGCTTAACTCCTTTGGACTTCTGCCTCAGGGTTATTGCGAATGAAAAATCTTGAAAAGACGACATCTAGTGTTCTTTTTGTTATTGTTAATTAATCTATGGCTATAATGTTCTCATATTTGTGTCATATGTAAATGTTTTTTTTTTTTTTTTTTTTTTTTGATATTAGAAGATGTCTATTAGTTTTCTTTATATAACCTTGTATTCTTGATATTAGAAGATATCTATTAGTTTTCTTTATATAACCATGTATTCTTGATATTAGAAGATGTCTATTAGTTTTCTTTATATAACCTTGTATTCTTGATATTAGAAGATGTCTATTAGTTTTCTTTATATAACCTTGTATTCTTGATATCAGAGGATATCTATTAGTTTTCTTTATATAACCTTGTATTTTTGATATTAGGAGATATCTATTACTGGAGTCAACGTGTACAGGTAAGAAGGATATGATTTAACATTAACAACATCAAATACACATAAGCTGAACTAAATTCTATCTTCCATTTCTCTAGGTTTAATACCTAGTCCCACTGTATACAAATTATAGATTGAAGATTCATACAAGAACTTATTCTTTTACAGCTGATTAATATTGATAAATTAAAGATGTGGTTGGATGAGATGCAATCAATCAATTAAATCAGATGTGGCAAACAACACCATATGTGGTCAAAGCCTGTGCTTGGCTTCCCCCCGGGGATTATTTCTCCAACCTAGGGGGATTTCGACCTGTATGGTTGTAAAGGGGAGGAGATCCCCCCTGCACATATGGTCGGATGGTAACACCTGCCCGGTTTAACCTCAAATAATTATTTGTCAGGTTCAGATCTGAGTTTTAGCTCCGGGAGTTGAGATCAATAGAGAGCTCTGCATATGTTGAGGGGCAGACACGGATAGTTTAACAATAGGGAGATGTGAAGGGAATAGGGAGACAAATAATGGAAAGTCAGGAAAGGGAGGAAAATCGCTAAAGCATGATAACTGGGGAAAATGTAACTTTTGAACGGTAAAGAGATAGATATAAAACTATCAAAGTTAAGGTGAAAAGAATAAGAAAGAGAGAAGAGAGGGAAATCGTGTGAGAAATAAAAAATAAAATGATGTAAGATGGGAAAAGTAGGAAAAGAATAAACGAGAACACGTCATAGAAGGAAATGGGAGAAGAAAAATAAGTAAAAGAAGAAAAAACCATGATAAGTATTGGGTAGAATTCTAATTGGAAGAAATGTGGTAAAAAAACTAATTTTTAAATATGTGTCGTCTGTATATTAATTTGGCTTGGTTGTCTGTCCGTTTGTATCCAATAAACTTCAAAACGGGTGAACCGATCGGGCCAAAAAAAAAATTTTCTTTGTTTTTCAATGTTAGAATGAGAAAATGTTCACAATTGAAAAAGAAGATGGACGCGAAGCGCCCTAAAAAGCCTAGTATTATTGTAGAGAGATATTAGGATTTAATCAGAATTTGTCTTTTTTAGTTTTGGTTGATCAAGGGGATTAGATTTGGTTTGGTTGGCAAGATAAGTTTGAGAGGTTTTAGGTTAGCCGAAGGATTATTTTGGTTTGGTTGACAAGATCAGTTTGGTTTGATTGACAAGATCAGTTTGGTTTGGTTTAGATCATCAGTTTGGTTGGTTGACAATATTAGCTTGGTTTAGTTGACAAAATTAGGTTTGTTTGTTTGACAAGATCAGGTTTGTTTGTTTGACAAGATTAGGTTTGTTTGTTTAACAAGATCAGATTGGATTGGTTGAAAAGATTAGATTGGTTTGGTTGACAAGACCAGTTTGGCTTGATTGGCAAGATCAGTTAGGTTTGGTTGACAAGATCAGCTTTGATTGGTTTGATCAATTTGGTTTAGTTAACAAGATCGGGTTGGTTCGGTTAACAAGATCAGTTAGGTTGGTTGGCAAGATCGGTGTGGTTCAGTTGGCAAGATCAGTTTGATCTGGTTGACAAGATCAGCTTGGGTTGGTTGGCAAGATCAGTTTGTTTTGGTTTATCAAACCAATGTCTCTTATTTTAACAATCCTTCTCATCCAAAAAGATTGGTAAAAAATATATTTTTATGTTACAATTTTTAAATCTAAATTAAATCATAAATTGAAAAGATTCAAAATATATTTATCCCTGTCTTCTGAGTATACCGAAACCCCGCGGAATTGAACAAATATAAGGGGAGGACGTTAATTTTGTTCCTTAAAGTTAAAAATCTAGTTTTTTAGTCTTTAGTCATTAATTTTGACTCTTTTTGAGTCTTTTAAGTCAAAAAAAAATTTGTTCCTAAAAATCTTGCCCCCCCCCCTCACTTAAATCCTGTATCCGCCCCTGTTCACAAACCATTCATAAACTTAAGAACAAAATCAAGAGTTTCAGGTCATCATTAAAGTCTCATTGTTTGCAGGTCTGTAACTAAACTAAGTTATTTTGTTCAGATATTACCATTTATGGGATAGTGGACGTCAAGCTCTCCTCCAACTATTCTGTTTAGATATTACCATTTATGGGATAGTGCACGTCAAGCTCTCCTCCAACTATTCTGTTTAGATATTACCATTTATGGGATAATGCACGTCAAGCTCTCCTCCAACTATTCTGTTTAGATATTACCATTTATGGGATAGTGCACGTCAAGCTCTCCTTCAACTATTTAAAGAAGAAAAAATAAAGGTAATAAAACAATTTAACATTCGACAAAAAAGTTTATAAAATTATTTTACAGGGTTACGAGCATGTAGTTGAAGGGTTTGAAGCCCTTCCCTCCTCCTTCATCGACCAGTTGGACGGGGTCTCACAGGGGAAGGTCATTGTGAGGGTCTAGAGCTCTCGTCAATTCAGCTCCGCCGTACTCTAAATCTCCCGTCCTGTAGTGCTCAACCGGCCGTCCTCTAAATCCGCCCTGTCAAGCTCCAACCGGCCGTCCTCTAAATCTCCTGCCCTGTAAAGCTCCAACCGGCCGTCCTCTAAATCTCCTGCCCTATAGAGCTCCAATGTCCTCTATATCTCCCGTCCTGCAGAGCTCCAACGTCCTCTACAGTCCTACAGAGCTCCGCCGTGCTGTATATATCCAGTCCTGTAAAGCTACACCGGCCTCTATATATTCCGTCCTGTAGAGTTCGGCCGTCCTGCAGAGCTCCATCGTGCTATATCTCCAGTCCTGTAGAGCTCCACCGTGCTATATCTCCAGTCCTGTAGAGCTTCACCGTGCTATATCTCCATTCCTGCAGAGCTCCACCGTGCTGTATCTCCAGTCCTGTAGAGCTCGACCGTCCTGCAGAGCTCCACCGTGCTATATCTCCAGTCCTGCAGAGCTCGACCGTCTTTTAGATCTCCCGTCCTGCAGAGCTCCACCGTGCTATATCTCCAGTCCTGTACAGCATGACCGTCCTTTAGATCTCCCGTCCTGCATTCCATCCTCCACAGCTCCACTTTACTCTATCTACATCTCCAACCCATCCTTTATAGCTCCGCTATTCTCAATACTTCTCCATTTTCTACATCTTTAACCCATCCTCCACCGCTCCACTATACTCAAGAGTTCTCCATTTTCTCAACTTCCAACCCATCCTTCACAGCTCCACTATACTCAAGAGCTCTCAAGCTTCTACATCTCCAACCTATCTTCCACAACTCCACTATACTCTGGAGTTCTCCATTGTCTACATCTCCAACCCATCCTTTTCAGCTCCATTATTCTCAATAGTTCTCCATTTTCTTAACTTCCAACCCATCTTCCACACCTCCATTTTACTCTAGAGTTCTCCATTTTCTACATCTCCAACCCATCCTTTACAGTTCCACTATACGCAATAGTTCTCCATTTTCTAGATCTCCAACCCCTCCTCTACATCAACACTATACGCTTCTCCAGCTATTCCTGTTCTTCATTTTCTAAACCTCAAACCCATCCTTCACATCTACACTACACTTCTCCAATAATTCCTGTTCTCCAGATCTCCGCCGTTCTCTCTATATGTGCTGCGCTCCGCCATCAGAGATATGCCGTTATCTAGAAATCTCCGCCGTTTTGACAATGTTTGCAGCGTTTCCTTAGAAAAATAGAACTGAAAAGATCCTCGTTGAAATTAGTTTATAACATTATTTACATATTCTTGCAGCTGTAATACTTGTTTATTTTTTCAACAATTTATTCGAACGTAAACCACTTTCAATCCGAATTCAACCTTCAGAATGTCATATCTGAAGAGTTCCCGGTCATCAAAAACAGCTATCCTTTGTAATAACCCATGTATTTGTATTTTTTGATTTTGTTTATTTGTTTATAATACAGTTGATGAATCAGGTCTTGATTTAATAAAAAAAAAACATTTATGAACATTCAGCAGTTGTGCACTGCAAGATCTTTGTTTATGTATATATAAGAATATTTGTTAATCATTGTTTGATTCGTGAGTAAGAACCATGAAGGTATAATTTAATACTGCAACCGTTGGTAAAATATGTCCAGGTGTCTGTTATGTATCTTGAATATCAATTGTAAATCTGATAATGATATCATAATTGCTTTTTATTAAACAACACCCATATTTGTTAAGATGTAATCCTAGCTGCAAAATTAAGAAACTAATTGAACTTCTCAGAAAGGCCAAAAAATATCAATCAGTCGAAACGATTACTCAAACATCAGGCTTTATCGTTAAGCAGTGGCGTACCCAGGGGGGGGCAGTAGTCCTCTTGCCCCCCCCTGGGCAATACAAAATACAAAATTAAAAGGAAACAAATTTAAAAAGTAACACCTAACAATGACAAAAACTAAGGATTTGTCTAAATTCACTGTTAATACAAAATGTTAAGATACGTTAAACTAAAACTTTTGCAAAAACGAGACCTCGACATATTAGATGCTTATAACATGATGGAAGATGTAATAAAGGTATTCTATTTTCTATTTTCCTATTTTCTTACAGTCAATTAATAAAGGAATTGAGTCTGCCACAAACTCAAATATTCAAACCTTAGGAACATGATGCTGTCAACCTTTGATATTTCAAATTCAGAATATTTGATCTAACAGAATTCATAGTTTTTAATATCTAAGGTCTACAACATTTGGTTCCAAAGATATAGTGATTAGAAAATTAGAGTTTGTGNAACAATTAAATGCTTTTAATGGGCAATGAGAATGAAGGAAAGAGAAGTTTTAGCCTTCTAAAGAGAATACTTCATTACACAAGATGTACTATGACGGAGAGCAGACAGGGGGGGGGGCAAAAATCTTGCCCCCCTTGGCTAAAATCCTGTGTACGCGCTTGTCTTTAAGCCTTTAACTTAGTAACAAAAGTAATAAATTCTTGCAATTTTCAAGCAGGTCATTTTTAAAGCGAAACCACACCAGAAAATGATATATAAGAATAATTAAATTTCTGTTTTAGCTTTCTGAATTAAATCTTGTTCAGCTCATCCAAGGTACTAATGCAAGAAAAGTTATTTCAAAGGTGTACGCATTTTTTGTACTGCAGTGTACTGTATTTGGACGGAAAAGTAAACACAAGACGGATGTCACAGCCTGACATGGAATCAATTTTCACAAAAATAATCTATGAAATATTCTGGTCATAGGAAACTATGTGAATTTTCAAAATTATCAAAATTAAATGCTTTTATCCTCCTCGGATACTAAACGAACACTGATGCATCTATTCTTGTTTACAAATTCCGCCCAGAGAGAACTGGTTTCAATATGTACGCATAGTATACGCGACCGCAATTAACTTTCATTTCATTATTACCTTGAGCTTATCTAAGATAAAATTCAATATTATCATACATCGCCGTACTTAGCAATATCTAATTCATATTCCTTGGAACAAATCAAATTTGTTTTAAGTGTACTGCACAATTGTCAGCTGTCTAGCTGCTCCTCAGGCTTAATATTTTTTGTATTGTTTATATTACTCTCTAGGTTTTGTGTACTGCAATCTATTGTTAAGTCCAAGAATTTCAAGCCGAATTATAAAGGAATAGTCTCTTATGTCAGTAACTAATCTAATCTCCAACTTTTAATATCAAATGTTGACACCATCAGCAGCAAAATTAAAATTATTTGATTTGGTAGAATTTGTCTGTTTAATTATATAAAGCTGGGTTGCAAAGATAAGAGGGATTAGAAAATCCGAGTTTGTGGCAAAGACTCAATTCCTTTGACCTAATAATATTGTTTAATATTTTAAATCTTTATTGAATTTAAAGAACAACAATGATTTGATAAATTACTAAATATTAAGAAAGGAGTTAAAGAGCAAGCTCTGGATTAGGTTTAAACCAAGAGATCAACTAGAGACGAGAAACGTCACCGGAAACTGTTGAAAATGCCAAAAATAAAAGTTTAGTAATGCCTTTGTAGAAAATGCTTTGCAGAACTCCTTTACTAGATATACAAATTAGAGCCTCATATATTTGACAAGGATAAATATTGCAGAATTGTTTAGAATGAAAACTCTGAAGGAATGAGAGAGACCTTTGGTCCCCAAAAAAGGTTTTTAATATAAAATTACAAAAAAGTTTTCAAATGAAAGGTCAAAATTGAAAAAATCCTAAACTACAAACAATAATAACAATTTTTTAAGCGTAATTAGGCTGATATGACAGATTGAGACTGGGACGGGTTGGATCAGTTATCAGACTGCAAAAATATCAGGACCAGGAGTCCCTTGTTGAATAACAAAACTCCGATCCAAAACCGTCCGCAATTTGTACAACAATACATTATATACATTATTCACGCAAATAATAATTTTCAATTTTTTAAAAACACAGCCCGAAGAATAAAATCTCCTGAAAAATTAAGTCTAAATAAGTCTGATGAGTAAAACTGTGCTCACAAGAACAGCTAAAATATTGTAAAATTTGCTATTTAAACGCCGAAAAAGCTAATTTAAAAGCTAGCAAGAGCTATTGCAACTCCGTATTGAATTAAAGCTAAATCTCAGGGTGAATTCTATAAAATGAGATCAAAACGTCACAGTTGGAATTTTCATATAAAACAAAGCATGACACGAAGCGTGAAACCCTTCAATATTGTCTTGCTACATTCAGCGGAATAATGGTGCTCCTCAATGCCTTCCTGCAGCTTATTACCACTGTTAAGCAGCTTCAAAAGCTCCGATAAGCTGCTCCCTACAGCTTAGAACAGCATTGAATGAGCTGTTCAATGCTGTAGGGTTCTAGTAGTTGCTACCAGGCGTCTCCGTCCATAGGTGGAGAGAGTAGAGCAGGGTGCGGGGCTAAAGGTCCTCCTGCTGAGGGTACAAAGGATCCCATCGGAGGATACATGATATCTCCGTCCTCTTCCTGTGGAGTCTGATCTAGTCCCGTGAGAAAGGGTTGGGCCGCGGGATCAGGGGATTCACGTAGTCGATTATCAGCTAGTGCAGCAAGGCGCGTTGTAGCGCGCTCGAGCAGTGCAAGATCTACAACGTGGTTCTGTAGATGGTGGGCGTCTTCGGGAGCAACACCATGGAAACTCTTGATCTGAATTGGAGAGCGCTCGCGAATGGCAAAGGCAAAGGCGCTCATCCAACGCACACATCTACAGATATCGTTCCAACTGTATCCAGACACGGAGAGTGCTACGCGCTCCCCCTCCATGTGATAGAGCGCCGAGGTGGCGAGCACAGAGTATGAGAAGTCCAGGGAACCGAAGTCCAGCATACACAAGTCCAGGAGCTAAACAAACAGAAATTAAAATATTGTCTATCGAAGTAATACTGATTTAACATTTGAAGAGGCAGACATTTTATTAAAGAAGACTAATCGATCAATTTTATTAAAGAAGACTAATCGATCAATTTTATTAAAGAAGAGTAATCGATCAATTTTATTAAAGAAGAGTAATCGATCAATTTTATTAAAGAAGAGTAATCGATCAATACCTGCATAATCCTGGAGAAGGGTAGACCATTGTATGCAGGGATAGAGAAGGAAATACAGTCAGTCTTGGCCGGGCCGTGGAGGATCTGCATGAAGGTTCGCACCCAGGCGTTCGGGGTCATTGGAGACAAAGACCAGTTCAACTTCTTCAATATATCTAGTTCCATAGCAAGGATCTCTTCTTCGGTACATGCGCCATCTTAAAATAAATAGATAGCTTATTTTGTTATAAAAAGTCTGATTTAATGGTTAAAAGGAGTTTCTATATCTATAATTTATCTATATAATTTAATTATATTAAACATACCGGTGACATAGGCGAACTCCTGTAGTTTGGGAGGATAGATTTCCTCTAACTTGGCTCCGATGAAAAGACATGTTACTCCGATAAGCTGAAGACGGTTCTTGGGAACATTCTCCGTCTGTCCGAGATATCTATCCAGGAAATCTACGGCTAGGTAGAAGGTTTCTCTGTGTAGACGGTAGACTTCACATACTTCAATCAACCAATCTAAACAATATTCAAGTTAGTTCCGAGTTCAAGATAAATGTTATAAACATTCTATTCAAAGATAAGGAAGGAGAAGTTTAAACTTGACACACTGAGAAAATTCTTGTTTAAAGAACAGCTGTGAACCTATATTCATGTGACGCGTGCCCCCCCCCCCCCACACAAAGTCTACCTTTAACCAAATACATTCACGGCTTAACAAACAATTGAAGAAGATCGTTGCAGAATTTGAACAAAGGTTTGTGTTAAAAGAAGAATGCCGGGACGGAAATAACAATACAAAACCTTGAATGTGAATTGTATAAGAATGTTCCCTACCTAAAAGAATAGCCCTCATCTTGGGTTGAAGAGCAGAATGGTTCTCTAGCATACTAATGGACGGGATACGGGTGTAGGTTCCAGTTTCACGTTTTGCCATCAGATCCCACATCAGCTGTTTATCCGCCCAACAGAAGTTCGGGAAAGGAGATTCCCCGCGAACCTTGTGGGGTATGGGTTCAGACACAAAAGAACGAAACCTAGAAGAAATGAAAATTAATATTGTGTATCGACTGTTGTTGTCCTTGGGGAGTAAAATGCATTTTTTTCCATCTTGTCATTCTCTTAATAAACATATCAAGTTTCAAACTAAAGCTTTCACAACCAAAACATAACACCCCCAACTCCCCTCTAACGGCCATGATACATTGAACTTTGAGACTAAAATAACTGTTTTTTAAAACATTCATTTATTCCGCTAATGTGCTCTTGACCGTTGGAATGTATATTGGCGCGAAAACTGGAAAATTTTTAAACAGTTATCTAGCTGGGACTCTCTCTACCACACCGCTATCTTATTCCAGGCTTACTTAGAGATAATAGAAAATTAGGCCAAAGCCCAAACTTCGGCTTGAATTATATTGTGGACACTCACATGTACTTGCTAATCCATAATCTGGGTTTAAGCTCCAGAAATCCAGGTCAAACTATACAAGGGGGGATTGGGTTTCCAAAATCAACCCTTTTGAATCAAAACATTTGGTTTAGATGAGATATAAAGGGGAACCTATTGTATTAGAAATCAAATTCATCTGCTTTGCGCTCCCCCATCACAGGGATCCTATATTTTATGCTAATATTGAATGTAGGGGAGCTCTCCCCCCCCCCCCCATCGCTATCACAAACTCAGACATACATGTCTAGAAAGTAAAGTTTTCATCCCCTCTTCCTATTCTAAAGTAAAAAATGAGACTTACTTGTTCCATGAATCCCTCATCCTAGGTTTCTTCCAGCTCTGTTTTCTCCTCTCCTTAGACGGGGTATCTTTCATCTTCTCCGGGTTCTCCTGGGAGCTCAGAACCTTGTTTTCACTAGATCCCAAAGTAATGGTTCCAAGGGGTACTCGACTGAAATGAAGAAGGTTTAAAATTCCATGGCAAGACAATTGGTCGGTCATCCATAATACGCCCCCTCCCCTCTCTAATCTTAATACAAAATGTTAAGATACGTTAAACTAAAACTTTTGCAAAAACGAGACCTCGACATATTAGATGCTTATAACATGATGGAAGATGTAATAAAGGTATTCTATTTTCTATTTTCCTATTTTCTTACAGTCAATTAATAAAGGAATTGAGTCTGCCACAAACTCAAATATTCAAACCTTAGGAACATGATGCTGTCAACCTTTGATATTTCAAATTCAGAATATTTGATCTAACAGAATTCATAGTTTTTAATATCTAAGGTNCAACGCTCCATGAGAGAATTCCACACATATCAAAATATAATAATAAATCATGAAGACTGCAGAGTACCTTAACCCTGAATATCTCAGGGTTGTATCGAGACCTACTACAGGATTCATGCTCTAATGAAAATTCTATGAAATACTAGAGACCTCCCTTCCCCCTTCTTCCAATTACCAATTTACTTATCAAATATATCATCAAAACTGTTAAGTACAAATTAAATATGATGTTTTTCTGATAATATTTATTATAGAGAATTTGAACAACCCTGAACCGTATTATAACTGAACCAACTGACATTCTTTAGACCAGGGTTCAACGAATTCTAGGTTCGGAGCTAATCTTAACTCAGAACTCAACAACCAACCAGTTTCAAACCAAATATAGAACAGACAATAATCCACCAAAATAACTCTTTTTTGAAGAAAAGAACTTTATTTTTAGTCAGGGGTCTGTCCTAGAGCACGATTTTTGGACCGCCCCCCCCCCCAGNGGTTAAGACACTTTCTGGTCCCAGCGCTGCGGCCACGGGTTAGGTTAAGTTAAGACACTTTCTATAAGATCCATGTACAAAATTGATAGGAGGGGGGGGGCCAGGGAGTCCAAAATTTGTTCTCAATAGGAATATATCCTTTTTATTAAGGAAAAGAACGAAAACTTTATTTATGATCAGTCTATGAAAATCGTAAAAATGGTTAAATTTATTAGCAATTGTTTTAGTCCATACCTAAAATCGAGTAATTTCCCATGGAGAACGATTTTTTGTAACATTTTACTTACGTGTGATTGACCATCCATACAACACTGCGAACACAAAATGTAGGGTTCTTATAACTCAAAAATAAGGCGAGATTAATAATTCGTTTCAAAGTACGTAGTGGGACATTAAGTAATTTAATTACCTGTTTGAATAAATTTCTGGTTGGTGATATAAATATTTAATATCAAGTCACTCAAGTCTAGTTTCACTTTATTATCTATATAAATAGATCACAGTTGGGAGTAGAGATCTTAGACACGTCTGCTTCCCTCCATGGTTCAGAGTTTTCTGAATGATATCCTCGTCTCTTCTGATCATCTGTTCCGTGCTGTCTAGTTTGTACCGGCCCGCTACAGGGCCAGCTGTCAAATTCCAACCGGGTGTTCGGAAGTACAGGCCCGGCCCTAGACAAATTCTCACGACCAAACCGGTTCTTTGAGGGAAATATTAGTGAGCGCGGGGAAGAGCCGTGGAAGCGGATCAGCTGACTTTTTTAGCGCGGAACAATTTCATCTGCTTTCAAGGGGTCGGAACAGTACGACTCAAGAGCTCGAATACAGGGGGTAACAAGCTGGAAAAGGAACGAGGTGGCGAGCACAGAGTATGAGAAGTCCAGGGAACCGAAGTCCAGCATACACAAGTCCAGGAGCTAAACAAACAGAAATTAAAATATTGTCTATCGAAGTAATACTGATTTAACATTTGAAGAGGCAGACATTTTATTAAAGAAGACTAATCGATCAATTTTANAAAATCTGCTGACCAGATTAAATCCTGTATTAATCATCTTCTGTGTATATAATGTTAAAAATAAATTAGTATTTAAAGATATTCTTAGCTTGAAAAACAACTTATTCCGAGAAATGGGTCTGTTTACACTGCACAAAAGCTGTTGTTCATGTTCATTGAACTATTAAAACCACAATTCGAGTCTAGAAGTCGTTTTCATATTAAATTTAATGGGTCTCACTGTACAATAGTTGATATTATTTTTAACAACTTTATCATTTTAAAATGTCCATGGTTTCCATTTTTTTATTCATTTCATGATTTCAAAGATCCAAGATTGGACCATTATTTGCTCAAATTGATTCTCAAAGGTGGCGTCAAAAACGTCAAATTAGATTTTTAACACAACTAATTTGGTCTTATGTCGGCGCCATAGAATTGGAGCTTTCAAATTAGGCCAAGTTTTGTCTCTGGGCTGAGAAGATTTTTAGAACTTGATTAGTTGATTAGTTAGAAAATATTCGGATTGTAGAAAGAGATCTTGAAAATATTGAAGAAATTTAGATTTTATCAAAAATCCCCGGGAAACACTGGGCTGGCAGAATCCAAACCAATATTTTCATCTTTAAGCGGGGTCAAATTTTTGAGGTCTGAAAACAGCTTGAGGGGTAATAATTCTGCTTTCTTTTCAGCGTATACACTCAGTTTAGTGGTGTATTCAATGATTTTCCATATATAAAATTTCGGTTAGAAAATTGCTGTGTGTGTGCATAGGGTGCAAGATAGGAGAATATCTAACGAACTCTTTTTGGCGGGTTATTTCAAGTTTTAAGGGGGGGAGATAATCTGGGAAATATAGGGGTTAGAAAAATATTTTATGTCTATAACAGAAACGGCCCAACGGCAGGATGTACATTTTTTTTTAAATAATTAAACATTTTATATCAGTTTGAGACTCAGACTCAACCTTAAAATTCAGGAGCTATATTAGGAAATCTTTCTAGAAATTAAATTATAGAATATATAGCAAAAAAACAAAGTTTAAAATTTAAGTTTATTTACTCAAAATGATTTTATTTTCAATTTATTTCCCGCAAAACGCCAAAACCAGCTGTTTTGCAGCTGAGAGCTGTCAAAAAATGTTACAACCGTCCAAAAATGTCGGGTAGAGTTTCTAGGCGCTCCGGACAACGTTGACCCCGATTTTAGGCTCTAAAATTAACTGACCCAAGTTGAGAAGTTACAAGCTTACAGTTTACATTTTTTTGAAGAAAATATTTCCAACTCACTCAGACTTATATCTCCCGCCAAAAAATGTGCACTCCTATAACACCAACCTACAATAGGTCACATGTATACTAAATTGTCTGATGAAAACTTGAATTTAAAAAATTTTAAATTGACCCTGACAATTAAGCCTTTTTTTTGTTGCAAAAATTCAGATTTCAGTTGAAACAAACGCGAGAAAAAAAAATATCAAAGTTTTGAAATTCTTTAATTTTTTTTCATTCTTAATTTTTTATCCCCCCCCCTTTCCCTCCCTGTTCACAAATAATTGTGCCATCTAGGGCGTACTCAGGATTTTTTTTCATGGCACATGACGGCCGTTGGAACCTAAAAAACCCTTGGGCTCAGCCCAAATAGCCCCCCCCCCGCCATCTCAATTGCTAAAATGATTTACTTAAAAAGTAAAAATGTTTTATAAACTATATAATTACTCATATAGGGCACGTTCCAAAAGTAGCCGTTATTATATAAATCCCCCCTCTGGGTTACCAAGGAAAATGCTAAGTATTCAGGCTTTTTCCCTGCGGGGGGTTTTATATTTTCTTTATCATTTAACCGCGATCAATTCCCCCATTTTTGGATTAACAGGGAGAGGCAAAAAAATATAGTATCTTTTTATATTATGAGGGGATAGGGGGGCGGGGGGCAATGTTAATGTAGATGCACAAATTGATTTAAAAAACAAGTTTGCACTTACAGACTGGCCCATAAAATTCTCTACAAATATTTTGTATTCAGGTACAATTGAAACTATACAATTATTACTTTTAATTCTTTTCAGAATACTTTTTTATTAAAAACTAGCTTATGTTGTGAACCAAACTTTGCCATGAGAAAAAAATAATTCAAACCAAGATGTCAGAACATTCCCGTGGTTCTAACGAGTTACCCATGATCAAAATTTGAGGCAAATCGGTCAAGGGGTGCATAACAGAAATCAAGACAGAAAAACGGACATTACTACTATATACATAGATGTATATATATACATAGATGTATATATATACATATTTATATGTCTAAATAAATACTATTTTCCGCTCTTAAAAAAAACTGGAGAACAACAAAAAATTGTATTTTTTTTCATTCATTTATATTTCATTTCAATTGGGGACCCCTCGTCATTCGCCAGCACCAACACACATACACAATACATATGTGTAAACCCTGGAAAAAGCAGATTCAACCAGTCAAACTTTGCTCTTTTGCAAATCATTTAAAACAAATAAAATACAGATTGGCTCAATAATAGTTTTCAAAATGATATCATTTAATCGTTTTTCCGTAATTCTCAAAAATGTTCATCCTTAATTTAAATTGTAAGCTGATTTTTAGATGGATATGTGAATATGATAAAAAAAACTACATACAAAAAATTTTGAAATTCTTTGTTTAAGATTTACACCCTGTGATGAATTATTGTTCTGTTTTAACAAGTCTGAAAAAACTAAAATGTGTTTTCATCTATTTTTTCTATTTTTTCATTTAATTTGTAAAACTAAATTCTAAAGGAAGAAAGAAAAATAATAAAAGTTGTAGGATAAGTATACAAAGGAATTTCTATATGTCTGCATTAAATTATAAAATTTTATGCAAACTTGATAAAATTCAACAAAACTTAATTTAAAAGTGTTTAACCTTAGAATTGCAGGTTGAATGCATCTGGTGCAGAATGCAGTCTGTGTCTGGAGCAGTATAATATAAAATGCCTGGAAACAAATGTTTGCCAAGTTTTATTGGTTTTTTTAGTCTTTTTAGAAGGAAAGTGTTTAGGCCTGGGCTCAAAAGGGGGAAGTGGAGGGAGAGAAAAAAAAGGCATGTCAAAGAGATACTTTTATAACCTAAACCCCTTTTATGCCTTTTTCCCCATTTCATATCTTTTCAACTTTCATATCTTTTCAACTTTCATATCTTTCAACTTTCAAAATTTTCAACAAAAATCTGTAAAAAAAAATGTATTTCTATTGTTATTAAATGTATGAAAAAGAAAGGTTTCTATTTGGGATAGAACCACAAGGAAAATAAAAATAGAGGAAGTACAGAGATAAAGGTAAAAGGACAAAAAGTAAGTTTTGAGCTGAAGGATAAAATTTTCAAAAACACAAAAACTTGCCTAAAGTTTTAATCCATGTGGTCTACTGTATTTGTAAGGTATTGCTGTATATACACTGTAGAGGATGAAAAGATGGAAGATTGACGCGAGGAAATTCCTTAGGTTTAAGTTTACACAATACATAATACGTTTAGATTAGTAAACTCTTTCTTCTGATAAAGTTGAAAATGTGGTTTTTCAATGGTTCTTCAGGTTTCAACTGAACAGCGTATATTTATAATTTAGAATATACTGAGAAGAAAGGAAATAGAGAATTTAAATAACTTTTCCTTAAAAATTAGACCAGAACTGAAAATTGCGAATTTTCTGTGTTTCTGTGATTTAATTTTTATAACATTTCATATTTCGATAGAAATAATTTATATATAAAAAGGTTCATGGATTTTTTTGGGCAATTGGAGTACCAAAAAACATTAAAAAATTTTTTTTAAAAATATTGATAAAACACCATATATAAGAGTTGCACAAAAAAGATACAATTTTGCAAAAGGCGTCGCTAATCACACTTTTTTTTACTCACCCTGTATTTATAATCATGAGCTGGAATATCGCTGGAAGGAAATGAAGACTCTATCTATTTTTATAATGTATGAGCTGGAATATCGCTGGAAGGAATTAAAGACTATATATATGTGTCTATTTATAATAATGGAATATCGTCGGAAGGAAATGTAGACGCAATATTTATTTATAATCTATGAGCTGGAATATCGCTGGAAGGAAATGTAGACTCTATATATATTTATAATCTATGAGCTGGAATATCGCTGGAAGGGAATGTAGACTCTATATATATTTATAATCTATGAGCTGGAATATCGCTGGAAGGGAATGTAGACTCTATATATATTTATAATCTATGAGTTGGAATATCCCTTGAAGGGACAAGGGAAGCTAATCTAATTATTACACACGGGATTGATCAATGATTCTCAAACTTGTTCTTTAATTACATTTATACATTTCGGAAAATATTCTATTTTTGTAAAATATTTTCTTTTTTAATTCTTTTTTCATACCATTTTTTTGAGGCATTCAACAATTTGTAACCCCCCCCCCCACTTCAGGTCCACCCCCCGTATCCCTTGTCAAGATTTGAAGATAAACCAGGACCCGTTGTTTCAGTTTATTTTTTTACAGGGCGTTAACATCACTACAAGGGTGAATATGTTTTACTTTACTATATATTTGAATTTTATTTTCATCTTGTTCGATAATTGTGTACAATGCAAAAAAAAATCAATTTTTTCCGGGATTACTTTATGTTTAAAATTCTATCACATTCCAGGAGCTCTGTCCTCCATTTAGAGATATCAAAAAACACTTTTAGGATGATTTGAACTCCTCCTTTTTGAATTTAATCTATCCNCCCCCCCTCTCCACCATCTTCTCCCTTTTATCCTCTGTACCAATCAAATACATTAAAGATATTGGCGTGCACAGACATTTTTCAGAGGACTTTAATGCTAATGAATGAAGTAATATATAAATATCTTTTCTAGTAATAATCCTAGCTTTTTGTTCCTAATCTGTACTGCAGACCCTTGTTTCTTGCACATTTTGAAATAATAATAAAAAAACACATTTTGCGGATTACTCTATTTTTATTGGTGAATTTTCCTGAGGTAATAAAATCATAAAAACAACTAAAAAAATTGTCCACATTTCTGAATTCTCCAAATTATTGTTTTCAGTGTGAGAAAATAAGCTCCATTTATCAAAAACGAATTATCATCAAACATTTGAGATTTTTTATCCAGCTGAGAGCACTGAGATGGTCTATTCGAATCTTTCGAATCACAAATTGTCTTAATTTCTTATTCATGATAATAAATTTAACTTTTACGGTTCCTTCCTTCTCCCCATGATCTCATCCTTCTCATCACTCCGAAACCATTCTCATTCTTGACTCTACAATCATCCCTTTTTACTGAAACCTTCTTTCCCTCAAAATGCCCCCAAAATGCCCCCAAATTGGTTTTAAATAACAATTTTCAAATTGTTTCTAGGAAACTATCCGACACGAAGGTATCCGAACCCCTGGGATTTCATACAAATTTTCATAATTGAATCTGACACAGGTTTCCTCACAGTTTCCCAGCTAAAAATTATTCCCCGCCCTCTCAATGCTTCAGAATATTCCTATCCCTCCTAAAGATCCAAAATATTCCCATTCGTCCTTAAGATCATAAATACTCCCATTCGCCCTAAAAGTAATATTCCCATCCCACCTAAAGATCCAAAATATTCCCATACCTCCTAAAGATTCAAAGTATTCCCATTCCTCCTAAAGATTCAAAGTATTCCCATCCCACCTAAAGATCCAAAATATTCCCATCCCACCTAAAGATCCAAAATATTCCCATACCTCCAAAAGATTCAAAGTATTCCCATTCCTCCTAAAGATTCAAAGTATTCCCATCCCACCTAAAGATCCAAAATATTCCCATTCCTCCTAAAGATTCAAAGTATTCCCATCCCACCTAAAGATCCAAAATATTCCCATCCCACCAAAAGATCCAAAATATTCCCATTCCTCCTAAAGATCCAAAGTATTCCCATTCCTCCTAAAGATCCAAAATATTCCCATTCCTCTCAAAGTTCCAAATATTTCCATACCTCCTAAAGATTCAAAGTATTCCCATCACTCTGAAAGACTCAAAATATTTCCATCCGTCCTAAAGATTCAAAATACTCCCATTCGTTCTAAAGATACAAAATATTCCCATACCTCCCAAAGATCCAAAAATTCCTAAAAACTACAAAGCAGACCAAAATATTCCCATTTCTTACTCCGTATTTATTCCATCCATTCTAAAGATCTTCATTATTTCAATTCAATAGTAATCAAATACTCATGGAATAAATTATATTATTGTTTAAAAGTTCAGTTTTGTTTGTTCAGTTTTGTTTGCTCTAATTCTTAATAATTCTTCTCACATTATCTGTCCTCAAAACTCCTTATCTTCGCAGTGAATTTAACGCCCTGTTATAATTTGAAAAATCCGCAAAAATAAGATAATAAATCTCCGACTTTTACAAGTTCTATGTATAATAAAGTGACTTTTCAAATATTAATATTCCCAGTCATTCCTTCCTTCCGTCAGATAAAAGAATAGAATAATTAAATAACCTCTTGAATAAGAAAGATACCATTATATCAAAGATAAAAAAGAGGTTAAATTGATCATCAAGTCACTGCCTGAAAAAAATACAAAAATAAATCCAAAATTTTAATTAATTTCGTGCAAGCAAAGTCCTAATTCATCATGGATAACTCCTCAAAAATACTTCCCTATAAGGTTCAAGGTTTATCTTATGCCTGCAATAGGTCACCATAAGGTCCAAGGTATATCTTTTGCTTGAAATAGATCACTAAGGTCCAAGGTATATCTTCTGTCTGAAATAGGTCACTAAGTTCCAAGAAGGTATATCTAGTATCTGAGATAGGTCACTAAGGTCATAAGGTATATCTTCTGCCTGAAATAGGTCACTAAGATCCCTATATCTTCTTTCTGAAATAGGTCACTAAGATCCCTATATCTTCTTTCTGAAATAGGTCACTAAGATCCTATAATATGTAGTCCTGGGGCGAAATGATTAAATTCTGTTTTCTTCCTCCTTTCAGGCAAGCTAAACTTACCAATTCAAACCTTGGGTAATGAGGAGAGGGGTTAAGTTTTCCACGTTAATAATCGTTATAAGTTCCTTCCCAATTATTATTTTTTGTAAAAAAAATTCTAAAAAACTTATAATGGCAAATGTTTTCAAAGAAAACACAATTTATTCATAGAGTTTTTTCTTCTCATTTCTGCAAGAGGATATATTTGCAACTAGCTGAAGTACCCAGCGTTGCCCGTGGAATAAAAAAAAATTAATTCCGAATTTTGAAAAAAAAAATATTTGAATTAAATTTTTTTGTTGAATTTCTAAAAAAAAGTCAAAATTTGTTTAGCCTACGTTACCCCCAGGGCACCCATCGGGGTAACTTAAAAAATATCTGCCAATTTGGTTCAGCCGTTTGCCCAGCTTTGCTAACATATAAAAATATCACTATATATAGATATATGAGCAAAGAGCTTTATTATTAAGATATATATCGTTAAACCTAAAAAGTTATGATATTATCTTAAAGTGAAGTTAAGACAAAAACATTGTTATAATATTGAAAAGCAATAGAGTTTTTCCACAAACTCTGATTTTCTAATATCTTATAGTATCTATATAATAATATCTATATCTTAGCAACCCGTGATCATTATAGATATTAGATATTTCAAACTATGAATTCTGTTAGATCAAACAATCTGAGTATAAAATAACACAAGTTTACATGATCAGATTAAAGGATAAAGGGACTCGAAAATTCGATTTTGCGGCAAAGACTCAATTTCTTCAGTTTCGAATAATAACCGAGAACTGTTCTGCTTAAAGAAAGCAGTAAAATTTTTCCGATATCCATATAAGGAACACAATTCTCAGCCCCCGCCCCCCCCCCCTCTTCTCAATAAATATAAAAACTCAACCCGTAGAATACCCTAAAGGTTAATCACGATGATATGTGTATACTATACTATAGTTAAATTATATTCAATAGAGAGCGGTGTTCTTTTACATTGTACTTTCTTAGGAGTTCCTATTCATCGCATTTTTATCTTTTTCGTGCTCCATAAATATTAGATTTATATTCAGAACACTATGCACTAATATTTATGACTAATACTATTTTACTACAGTCGTCGTCGTTTATATCAATACAATGAAGACGAATTTCAATTTCAACTTTTTTTTATTCTACCAAGTTTTTTAACAGGATGGATATACATTCACAAATGTAAACCAAGAAAAGTTTCTCTTTTGTTACTTGTAAACTTTAATTTGAAATTCAATATTTTGCCCTCAGCCAAGCTATAAATCTTCTAAAAGAATGTATAAAGCTAATAACAAGGTTTGGAAATTACTTTATAAATTGAGTTCTCAACTTATAATGATTTCAAACTTTTTGTGTGATATGAAATAGTTGAATTTTTTAACGTAAAACATAGATTAACAAGTTCCAAATTTTACACAAACATGCAATTTTCCCCCAATGATTAAGGATCCATTTATGTTACCTGATTTCACTTCGATAGAATTANCCCATTTAATCCTCCCTTCAACATTAATTTCTCATTTCCCTCTCTCAGTAAATTTTAAGTATTTTCCCATTTTTCCATTTGTCCTCAGGCATTTGCAAAATTTCTCTAA